CACTGGTCTCCATCCTTCCCTATCCCAAAAATAACTTGTCTGAACCTAATCATTAACCTACCATAGCTAAAAAGGTCAGCCTGTGATCCATTTCTTCTGTGTATACATCTTTATAATATTTAGAAAAAGAGAGAGACGCTCCAGTATGAACTAAACAGTTCAGGCATTGGCTGAGGGAATTGTGAAAGTGACTATCCAGAATCTTGTTTTATCATTGTTTGTTTATCTTGTGCATATTGCCTGGACTTTTCCTACTTATTTTTTGACACAATATGATGATGTGGGCTGTATCCTTCTAAGAAAATTCCACATCTCCCTCCTCAGAACAACAACAAAAATTTATGTTGTTCTTCTTAAGATTGTGTAACTTGATTCTAAATGTGTCAATGGATAGTATTTTTGGTATCACACTTGATTCATGCACCACAATGTGTTGGGAACCACACAGTTGTCTCTTGCCTAAAAGTAGCTACAATTGTGGAGTATGGACAGAAAATGAAATTGTCTCAAGTAGTCTTTCACTTGGCTATGTGATTCAATGAAATCCAGTTAAAAGATTATGTTCACCTTTAGTGTCTTGATATGGTAGTTCAGTTGTGTAGACAAGGCATTTTAAGACAGATTAAAAGGGAAGATAGTATTTTAATAAGGAAAAGAACATGAATAAACAAAATTAATAAGAACAAAAATACTCCAATTTCAAAAGTATGACTTAAGCATGAAAATGTTTTGTCTTGTAACAAAGCATTAACTTTGAAAATATTCAGAGGGTAGCTGAGTTAGTCTGTAATAGGAAAAACTAAAAAAAAAATGCTCTAGTAGCACCTTAAAGACTAACAAAACCAGTAGATGGTATCATGAGCTTTCATGGGCACCACACACTTCTTCTGTCATCTGAAGAAGTAGATTGTGCCCACAAAAGCTTATGATACCATCTACATGTTTTGTTAGTCTTTAAGGAGTTACTAGAGTATTTGTTGTTTTTTTTAAAGTTTTTGAAAATATTGTGAACCATATAGCTTAGTTTACTTTTAAAGTGTTCTGTAGAAATATAAATATTACTACTACTAATAATGCCCAAACTTTGTATGGTGTTACTCATCCTCAGATACCAGAGTTAGTTAGGTTTTTTTTGTAGAATTTTTTTTCCATGTTTGAGAATAGAGGCTTTCAGATTAAATGTGTTTACATGAATTAAAAGATGGAGTTTCTGTCAGTCATTCAAAGTCAGTATGGTATCTGAGATTCAAGCTGGGTTCTTTCCCTCTCTTTATCACAGTTCTGCAGAATAAATCATGCTGTTTATCACGTGGTTTCAACAGTACAAAGAAATTCTTCTGGTTCTGGAATTGATGTTGCGGAATCATGTGGGACAACATGGGGCTTTTTTATTTAAAGTTTTTAGACAAAGCCAAGTCTGTTTCTAAACGTTCTGAGGTTGATTTGTTCCTGTTTTATAATTTTGCTATGCAATCTTTTTTTCTTAACTGTTCTGAACGAATATAAATCATGGTGAATGTGTAAAGGGACACAGGGAATTTAGAAAGTACACCTAAGTCTGAAATTTACCTAACATTGTAACAACCAACCCTTAAAAGTCCCTACACCTGAGAGCACGGAAACACATTTTTCCCTCTATTTCTGGGTTCTTTGAATTTAAGAGTGTGTTTATATCCCAGGTTCACTGTTTCTGCTACATAGCCATTTTCCCCTTTGTGTGGATCTCTGACAACCATACAGTAAAGAGAAATATTTTAAAATAATATTTGTAAAACCACAGAATACCACAAAGCTAAGTGCAGTAGCTAAAACTACTTCTAACTGAGTCGTTTGAAACTGACTAGATCTCAAGTTGACATGTTTTTAAAATATCCAGGAATATTTTGTTTGAGTCTTTGTGCTACACTGAATAGCCATTATACAGGCTTCTATCAGACTTTAATTTCAACAACTAACAATTTATTGTTTTCAAAGTATGTAATGTGTTGAATTTTTAGTTACATAATGAAGGGCTTATTTAACTTGCAATAGTGCAGGAATTGTGTATTCTGCAATATTAGGGTTCCACTGCAATTTTGATAGAGGGAGCCCAACCATGTGGGGCTGACTGTGGTAGTCCTGGGGCCCCTGCTTTCAGCTCTGGGCTTCCAATAGCAGAAAAATTGCAGAAATGCAATAATATTACCCTAAATAATTAAGTTCATGATTACTTTTCCACAATTTTCCATCACTTGTTCGCAACTCAGCTGCAGTTTTTTGACAATCATCTGGTAATTCAAATAGGGTCTCTTATGTATGATTATCCATGAGACCCTAGAAGACCATGGCAAATTAAAACTGTTAGTAGCTATCCATAGACTTATAGTCCAGAAAAAGATAAACAAGACAAAAATCTAATAATAATTAAAAATGGGGAAAAACTTGTCTTTTAACTATCAGTGCATACTGATTACAATTCATAGAGCTATCAGCTTGAAGACTAGTTGTTTTCCAAAAATTCAATAAAAGTAATTTCAGTTACTAAATCCCTTCATCAATTTTTGTGATTTTTATGAGAATCTGAACTTTTTGAGCTGAAAATTAGGGTGTTTGTTTATGCAGAGAAAATAGTTAAACCAGTTATTGTCAAACTCACAAAGCATTTGGGGGAAAAAAGTCTTATCTTTTGTTTGTAGTAAGAGGTATTCAGATTTTAGTAATGTTTAAGTTGATGATTTCTCTTCCTACTGATTTTTGCTTGGTTTTTTTGTCTCCACATTGAGCTACAAGGGTTTTATAAAATTCAGCATTTTTGTACTGTAGTTCACTTTTCTCTTTACATGCTGCACCTGTACTGAATTTTGTTCTCTCTTGTTACCGTAGTGATTTCTAGGTGCTCAGATGCTACGGTGATAGGCACTATATAATAACAAAAATTTGTAGTACCAAGATTCCTCATCATTTTCACATTCTGTTTTTATCTCTAAACTGTTAAGAAGTAGACTTGCAATGACTTTTCCTCTAGTAACGTTTTCTGATGGATCATGCTGTTGAGAATCATTTTAGGGAAATCTTAGGCAAAATTTAAATAAAGTTTTTTCTGACAGAATAAAGTATTCTAAATGAGACCACTAAATATTAAACTAAAGTAATTGATTACAAACAACATCAGACTTAAGTATGGCTTCTGTAAAATACCTTGGTTTGCAGAGTATTGTATTTCTAAATATCATTGTCGTTTAAAAAAAAATAAAAAATTAAGCCATCGTTCTTTGCTTTCTGGATATCTTCTTAATTTGTTTTAAATTTTATTTGAAGCTAAATATAAATTGAAAGACACAAATGCATATAATACTGTATATGTGTGTATATCTTACTATACCTATAAGATTATTTCTGTGACGTCATCACGTCACTCTGTGTCCCACAGTCCTTCCTCCCTCAGTTACCCATCTTCATCCCTCTCTCTTCACTGCTGCTAACCCCATAATGGGGTTGGCAGTCTATGGCTCGTGAGAGATCTAAATATGGCTCTTCGACTCCTCAACAGCAGCACTCACCTTCCTTGCATCTTGAAGATAGGCTGCTGCTGGGCTTCTGGGGGAAGGACAGCAGGGGACAGGATCATGTGGTGAGTGGGTGGGTGGTGGCGAGACCCAAGAGCGGGGGATCGGGACTTAGGTACACCCCGGTCTCCTGAGTTGCCGCATAGTGGCTGGCTGAAGCACTGGCAGCTACCATGTGGCAGGTAGCTGCTGGTGTTTTAAAAGCAGCTGCTCTGTTGCGCCAGTAACAGGACCCACATAGTGGGGGTGGGGAGGAAGAGAAAGTACCAGGCCCGGGGAGGAGAGTGAGTGTGTGAGTGTGAGTGTTACACAGACACACACGATGACAGAATGATGATGCCGCTCTGTTGTTCCGCAGGAAAAAACTTTTGTATATATGTAGAGAGAAAAAGAATTCAAACATTTTTACCAGTAAAAGAAAAACAAATTTTGCTTAAACCATGTAAAATATTTTAGTTCCTGTTATAATTAGGGCCTTATGAAATTCACAGTCCATTTTGGACTATTTCATGGCCATAGAATTTTAAAAATCTAATATTTCATGATTTCAGCTGTTTAAATCTGAAGCTGTCATGGTATGTGTGTGTGGGGAGGGAGGTTGCAAAGTTAATGTAGATTTCAGTACTGCTACCCCTATTTTTGTGCTACTGCAAGTTGCTGCACTGCCTTCATAGCTGGGCAGCTGCAAAGTGGTGGCTGCTGGCCAGTAGCCCAGCAGCCCATCTCTGAAGGCAGAGGTGCTACCAGCACAGAAGTAAGGTGGCATCGAATAGTATTGCCATCCTTGCTTCTGTGCTGCTGCTGGTGCGACTCTGCCTTCAGAGTTGGACACTTGTCCCCCAAGCTCTGAAAACACTGAAGTAAGAGTGGCAGTATAGTGACCCATTAAAATAATCTTGTAACCTCCTGCAACCCGTTTTTGGGTCAGGATTTCCAATTTGAGAAATGCTGGTCTCTTCCATGAACTCTGTATAGCATAGGGTAAAAGCTTACTAAAGAACAGATTTCACAGGGAGAAGACCAGATGTCATGGTCCGTGACATGTTTTTAATGGCCATGAATTTGGTACTGCCTTAGTTATAATAGGCATCTCATCTCTTTTTATCTGCTGGTTAAATTTAAATAGTGAAACCTTTATTTAAAAAACACACTTGCTTTACATTGCTGAGATTCTATTTATGACAAGCTGTTGAGAAATTTAATATTTTCTCACAAATTACCTCCCAGTTATCAGAGCCACATTTACAATCATGATTAACCAAAAGAGCCACATTAATATTGTCCTGTGCACCACCTGACCAAACACTCATGTGCAATAATATGTAACTCTCAATATAACCACCCCTCCCCTGTGTGTAAACATGTAACCACTTCAAATTTCAGCGATTACACCAGGGGTGGGGAACTGTTTTTGGAACAAGGGCTGCTGACCCACAGAAAAATCAGATGGCTGCACACAAATGAGAAGCAAGGAACCAAACATTCACTGATGTGGCCCTCCGACTGAGAAGGAGAAAGACATTCCCCACAGTATCCTGTTACATCATAGCCTAGGTGGGTTCAAGCTAGTAGATCTTGTGTGCTCTAGCCCTGTGGGGGGACAGCAGGGAGGGCTAGAGCAGCAGCTCCCACACTCCAATGCTGAGGGGAAGCCTCAAGCCTTGAGGGCCAGATCATGGCAAGGTAGAGACTGCCTCTGGGCCCAAGGTTCCCCACCCCGGGTTACATGTTTAGAAAAAAACACACTTTTTAACATCCCTAGTTGACTTACTAACTTATTCCCTGCCGACTGCTACCAGCAGGAGAGTTACAAATGCATAAGAACCTGAGTACCTTCAAAATGCACAATCTTTGAATGGTTTTAAGGTTTTGATCGCTAAATCTGACTATTCCAAATTGAGGGCTGTAATCAAAGCCCTCTGACTTCAGTAGGTTTAGGATTGAGCTTTTATTACTGGGAATGTCTCATGGACTAAACCTTTCATTTTCTAAATCTAAAATGAAGATATGAATATGCATATTCACTGTGATGTTAACAATAAAGCTAATTAATCTGATATGCCTAGGTAAACCCTCACCATGCAAATATAAGTCAAAATGTCTTGCACATGCTATGCAAATTCAGGAGTCTTCAATGGGTCCCTGTTCCATCGTGGAGTCGATTCCAGAAAAGCTTGAAAAAGCAGTGGAATAACTTTAACATTATTAACCCACATAAAGACTCATGAATATAGCACAAAATCAGTCATGTTGATATTGGCTCCCCCCAGAAAGAAAAAGAGATCAAAGGGGTTTTTTCCCCTGAAAATATTAGCCTTGAGTTGGTTTTCAGATCTTGAATGTGAAATTGCATTTACTTTAAACGCGTTCAAGGCTCACTACTGAAGCATTCTTGTTATTCTGGTTGAGTAGGCCTTTTATAGGAGGTATTTACTTTCCTATTTATATAGCTATTTCTTCGGAACTGTAAGGAGATGAATTTCTTATAGAAATGGGTTAGGTTTTTTCAGGAATTGATATCCCAAAGAATGACACATTTAGGTTTTGGGAGGCAGAGGATGCCTCTGGAAAACACTCAGAAAAACAAACCAAAATTTAAAAAAAGAAAAATGGACAATAAATGGTTACATTTTCATGGCAGCACCAGCTTATTTGGTCTGGGTTATTGCGAGATTAAAATCCATGTAATGTCAGGTGTATCCAAATGGCCAAGGCAAGGAGGACATATGGGTTTCAGTGAAAGCACTTATGTCAAAACTGAGCTCTTCTGAGAATACAGCAAAGAGTTCTGTGGCACCTCAGGCATGGTCTACAGTAAAGGGCAAAGTCAACTTCAGATATGCAACTCCAGCTATGTTAATTATGTAGCTGGAATCAAAGCATCTTAACTCGCATTTTGGCACCATCCGCACAGCAGGAGGTCAACGGGAGCAGAGAGAAAGGCTGTTCTCAGTAGTGACAGATGGCAGAACAAGGAGCAATGGTCTCAAGTTGTGGTGGGAGAGGTCCAGGTTGGATATTAGGAAAAACTATTTCACTAGGAGGGTGGTGAAGCACTGGAATGGGTTACCTAGGGAAGTAGTGGAGTCTCCATCCCTAGAGGTGTTTAAGTCTCGGCTTGACAAAGCCCTGGCCGGGTTGATTTAGTTGGGATTGGTCCTGTCTAGAGCAGGGGGCTGAACTTGATCACCTTCTGAGGTCTCTTCCAGTTCTATGATTCTAACATAGAACCTTCACCATTGCTTTGCATAATTTCTTGATGCAGTCCTGGCTTTTCCCCTTGCAATTTTAATGATGTTTGGTTCTACTTCTGTTGTGCCATTCCAAATTGTACTAGGTCTGGGAGTTCTAGTCCTAGACTTACTGGTTAATCTATCTGGCTTAAAAGCTGATTTCCCCCCAGTACCAGCTCCGTGGTGCCGCCTCCCCACCCCGCGCTGCTGCCTCTATTAGAGGCAGTAGCATGCGGGGGAGGGGAGGCTGCCCTGTCCATGGGAGGTTTGAGTCCTCACAGACAGAGGCTGCTTCACATCTCCATGGACCACCTGCAGACAGGGGCTTCCCAGCCTCAGCATTGCCGGAAGCTGCTTTGAGGGAGATGGAGCAGCCTCTGTCCGCAGGGAGTTTGGACCCCTTGTGGACAGGGGCTGCTTCTGGAGCAGCGTCTGTCCGTGGCTAGCCTGGTCCATTGTGGGCAGAAGCTGCTTTGTGGCAGACCTTGGCCCCTCCCCTTTCAGCAGCCTTTGTTCATGGGGGAGCTTGGACCCCCCCCCCACAAAGAGGGGCTGCTTCCACTACACATTGCTGCCTCTGTGTCAGAGGCAGTAGCGTGGGGCAGCAAGCAGCCAGTCTGAACGGGAGCTGTTTTTTAAACTGGCTCCTCTTGTGAACTGGCTCCTGCCTGGCACCCTGAGCTACTGCCTCTGACACAGAAGCATCAGTGGCATGACAGGGGGAATCCCTGGGAGTGGAGTTGGAAGCACACTGGCTGTAGTCGACTAGTTAGCTAAGAAGTCATGCTGTTAGTCAACTATTCTATTTCCTGCTATCTAACATCCCTAATTTGTTCCTCTCTGTGCGTCCTGGCTATCTCAATTTATGATCCATAATTTTCTGCCTTACCGGTGTTTCTGACTATCTTTCAAAGCTCTTAATTTGTGATTATTTTTCTTGCAGGATGTGATGTTAAGGTTTGTGTTAAGTCAGCTGTTTATAAAAATTGAGTGTATAGATCCTAGCATCTTGATAAGTCTCCAGGTTGCAGTACTGTGTAGTAAAATAGATTTTACAATGATACTAAATATTCAACTTCAATTTGGAGGGCGTGATTTCTGTTTCTCCAGATGAGCTTTAGGGTTGCAAAGACTTTTGCTATTATTCCTCTAATATTTTTATCCATTCCATATGTTTTGCTTTCTGTTCTGTCAAAATGTTTTTAGACCTAGGGTAAAATTGTTGGCTCAGTTATCATAGTGGCTACGTCTAGACTGGCATGATTTTCCGCAAATGCTTTTAACGGAAAAGTTTTCAGTTAAAAGCATTTGCGGAAAAAAGCGTCTAGATTGGCATGGACACTTTTCCGCAAAAATGCCCCGATGGCCATTTTCGCGATCGGGGCTTTTTTGCGCAAAACAAATCTGAGCTGTCTACACTGGCCCCTTTGCGCCAAAGGACTTTTGCCCAAACGGGAGCAGCATAGTATTTCCGCAAGAAGCACTGATTTCAGACTGTAGGAAGTCAGTGTTCTTGCGGAAATTCAAGCGGCCAGCGTAGACAGCTGGCAAGTTTTTCCACAAAAGCAGGTGCTTTTGCAGAAAAACTTGCCAGTCTAGACACAGCCAGTAAGTGTGAGCTCCACCGTTAAAAGTGGAAGTTCATAAAATGACACCAGAAACTATTATAAGTATTGAGAGGAAAAGGTGAAAGACTGGATTAGTAGAAGAGGAAGGGCCTTCAGATGTAAATCAAGGATTGTTTTTAAGATAATGGTTTGTCTGGTTTTGTGTCTCGGAAATGAGATCATACATGAACAGCAGCAGCAAAAATATCAGCTTCAGCATGTCAGCTAACTTCTTTTTGGGGAAAAGAGAAGGGCAGTTGTTACAACTGTTCTTATCATTTTCAATATAATGTAAGAGACTTGTATACCAGAGGAACTCCCTCCAGCTAAAGAGATAGGGCACAAGGGACATTGTTAAAAGGAAATCCTCACTTTTTTTGTTTCAAATACTTTAACTGTTTTTCCTTGTTCTCTATCTGTAATAAAATATTTAAAAAATTAATGGTGTGGATTCCAAGTAGACTGAATCCTTTTTAAAACAGTTCAGTTTAAGAATTATGCTAACTCTTTGATCAGTCACTCTTGGAGCCCATACTTTATCGCATTTAATACAACAGACTTCATCTATGTCAATTCCAGTAAATGCTATTGGTGATTTTTGGTGTTGATTCTGATGTTTGTGTTTTCTTTGTGTTAATTCAGCCCTATTAGTTGTGCATAAGCCTGGATATCCATTTGTTTTAGCTTACCTATCTCTGTATGGACATCATATTGATGTAATCAGCAAAAAACAATTCTTATGGTTTCTCTGAGATAGATCATATAACCTATATAGCGAACTTTCGCAGTACCCCATCCATTGCTATTAGATGAAGGTCTTAGGCGAAATAAGACATCCTTATTTGATTTTTGTGGTCATATCTAACAAATTAATCAATTTGATGTTATGTATTTGATGTCTCTCTCTTTCACAGAAGCTCTGAATTATCAAAATCCTTTCTACAGGAATTTCATAGTGCCATAGTACTTCTATCCACTGTATCAAAGGCTTTTTGGAAATCAATGAAATGGTTAGAAAGTTACTGCTATTCGATCAACTGTTCTGAGATGTGTAAGGCTACTGTTTGAGCTGTGCATGATTTCTCCTGTCTCAGTCATGCCTATTGTTGTCAGCTCCTTGAATATACAGCTTTCTTGGTTCTGTCTAGAACCAAGTTCTGTAAATATCTTAATTAGGGATGGACAGCAATTGAATGTGTCTCCAGTTTTTGCACTGAGTCTTTTTCTTTGGCAGCTTTACTGTGTGACCATTGTTCTGCTTGTTTGCTATTTTTCTTTTCCCCATATCTTTGTGAGAGGCCTATCAAAGTCTCTTCTGTGTTCTTTGAGTCCTCCTTAAGCTATGATGCAATAAAAATAATTTTTTTCACCCAGTGAATGGTTCCGTGACAAGTTCTTTTTGTGGAAACCTTTTGCTACCACTCAAGGAGAATCATCTGCATGGTGGAGTCATTAGAACCTTTCTCATCTCCTTTTTCAGTGTCCCCACCATATATATCCCATTGTTAAATTGCTGCATTTCCCAGAATACTTTGTTTTCCGAATTATTCCTGTAAGGCATCTTACTTACAGTGCAGTGGTTGTCCCATCCAGCAAAGCTAGTGTCACCACACTGCTGCGGCTATTTTTGTACACATTGGCACAGACATGTTTTAATTTGCATTGATCTATGTTTGGAAGGTAATGTTTGCAACGATAAGGACTAGATTTTTTT